GAACATCGTCTACACAATAAACATATTCTCTCATCTAATACATGCTGTGTGTAAAGTTAACTAACCAATAATGATCTGTTTCTCCTTGAGATATTGTTCCTCCTTCTCTTCCAATAGTTCAGCAACTTTGAGTTTAAGTTTCTCATAATCTTCTACATAAAAAAATATTTTCTCATCTAATATTACATGTATGTACTGATGACACACTAACCAGTAATAATCTGTTTCTTCTCCTCTACTTGTGTCTTCTCTTCCAATATTTCAGCATCTTTAGCTTTAAGCTTCTCATAATATTCTATTATCAATAAAAATGCAAAAGATAATAAATTAAATGATATCTGTTGCTTAATTAAATTTGCTCTGCATGTACAGTAACCCATAAATATATGTACATGTACTATGATACGGTAAGCAGAGCTCACTCTACATCAATCTCATTATTTCTAATGCATGGACAATTTGACCTATATTGAGTACAGGATACTACTTCTATACTCAACATTGTCTAATCCACTAGTATTATAATGTAAACAATGTACACATAAACAACAGTACAACACAATAGTACCTAATTCAACAGTTGATTTATCCTTTTCTGTTTGCTCAAGGAGAGCCTTTTCTTGAAGAACCTGTTGCTGCTCTTTGTCTCGATCTTGCTGTATCTGCTCCTTCTCTTTTATTTCTCTTTGAAGCTGTTCCTGAAAAAAATCAATTTCTCTTTGTAATTGCAGACGATCTTGAAATATTTGAAGCTGTTTTTCTGTTCCTAAATTCTTCCAATCACTCAGTATCCTTCTTCTTAGTTGATCTTGGTACTGGTCCAGAGGTATTACACTAGTAGACCAATCATTATCACTAGTATATCCTATACAGTAACAAAATAGTGGAGAATAAGAAATACACAAATTAATTACAGTTAGTTACTATGGTTAAATACACTGATAATAATAATTCATTCACTCTAGCTCCTATTAATATCAGTGTTTCTGTATCTGCAGTCATTATATTTCACTATTGTACATAGTAGGAATGAATTGGTAATAAATAGTATCATAGGTATACGTCAAATGCTCTCATTAAATATTCATCATAAGATTACTTACTTTATTGTAATAATTATTATCATTACTAATTATCATTACATATTCAATACACATTGTATCTACTACTGTCTACATGTACTTACTGAGTTCAATAACTGCTGTATCATTGTATGATAATGCTCCTCCAAACTCAATTATCCAGTTAGTAGTTGGGGTCACACTCCATACTGAGAGAGAATGCCAGTATCTCTTAGTGACCTTGTCTGGTAGATTAATCTATAAAATTAAAATGATAATAATTAATTTGTGTATGACATATTAATTGATTTGATATCTGGTTAATAAACACAATAACTAACTCACAGTTTTATAGTCTGCACAGTGTGTTTTATGTAACACAAAGATCACATAATAAAATTAATAATACACAATATATTAATAGACAAGTATACACAACTGAGTGTGTTATTATATTATGTGAGTCCTCAATTAAGAACTTACTAAAGGCCTTTTCACACTGGCACAGTTTTCAAAGCGCTTTGTTGATACAGCTGAAATAATGCCCATTGATCATGTTCACACTAGCAGCTGAATTATGTATCATTTTGTGTTCTTATTGCCATTGGTTTACATTGATCGAAGCACATAACTTCACATCAATCCACCTCTGGAGGTGAAGCGAGAGTGATGCACATCAATGCGCATTAATAAAAAACCACTGTAGTGTGAACACGATTAATGTGCATCAATGCGCATTACTTGTGCCAGTGTGAAAAGGCCTTTAGTGTCTGCATG